GAATTTTTTTCCTTAGACTACATAACTCCCTTTGCTCTGTGCTTCTAATTAAGATATGGACTGTTGTGTAGAGCTGTGTAGTGTGAAATTAGACCTACGGTTTTCTAATATCCATAAAATAAATTAAAAAGTGTTTCTCCTCTGAAAGAGAGATAATTCAGTCACAGAAAGCTTACTTCTATGTTTCCTTTGTTTTCTTTTCTTTTTTTAGCTGCTTGGTAAGCCAATTTTCTACTTAGAATCTACTGTTAAACTCTCATTTGCTTCAGTGTGTGGGCTTTATCCTTTCCATGGTCTGTTATGTAAAAAAGATGGGTTTAATCTTTTTTTTAATGTTTGCAGTAGTTCTCAACTTTCAATGCACAGGAGAATCACCTAGGGAAACTGTGAAAGATTCCAGATGTCCCCTCCGGTCCAGAGATTCTAAAGGAACTGGGTCTGGGTGGGCCCCTTCCCAAAAGCTTTGCAGGTGATTGTAATTGTAACATGTAGCCAAGACTAGCAAGGACTGCTCTAGGATCCTGCCATTGTCCAAATAAAACCTTATTATCTTTTTGGACTGAATCCAGAAAGGAAGTTCTTCCCAAAATTATAGCTTAACAGATGTAAAGATTAAATTTCTCCTCTACAAGACTGCTGTGACTTCCTTTTTTGTTTGTTTGTTTTTTTACATTTGAATTTTAGTAAGCATATTGTAGCCGGGAGCTGGTGGCTCACGCCTGTAATCCTAGCTACTCAGAAGGCTGAGATTTGAGGGTCATGATTCAAAGCCTGATCAGGAATAGACTCTTACCTCCAAAGCTGAAAGTGGCACTGTGGCTCAAGTGGTAGACTGCTCTCTTTGAGCAAAAGCAGCTCAGGGACAGTGCCTAGACTCAGAGGTCAAGCCCCGGAACCAGCACAAAAAAAAAAAGAAAAGCATAATGTACCATTATTCTGACAATTAGTTCAAGGAGTACCTGGGTTGCTAGTGGCAAATAAATAAATAAATAGATAGATAGATAGATATACTTGAGCATACACTTCAGTAGATTGGTGGTTTTAAGTATATCATACTCTGTTTTCAAAAAAAATTTATACTTCATGATTAAAGATTAAGCCTTCATATGCACAAAAGTAGAACAATTATTTATGTTTCTTCCAAAAAACCATTTGTCTTAATACGTATCAATATTCACTTGAATTTTTGAAAAAAAAACTTGCAAGAATATTTCCAATAGGTTAATTTCAATAGAATAACTGGAAAAGCCAAATCCAAGGACAAAGCTCTTGCCAAGAAGATGAACTGTGCACAGTAAAAAGAAAAATGAACTCTAAGATATGGAAACAAGAGGTTTTTCTTTGTTGTTGTAGTTTTTAATGTACTATGTGATTTCTTTTTTTCTTTTTTAAATTTAAGTTTTTATTTTTTGTGAACATACTGTACAGAGGGGTTACAATTACATGGGCAAGATAATGAATACATTTCTTGTCAAGCATTGCAGCCTCCTCCTTTGTTTACCCTTCACATCCCTTCCCAGCCTCCCCCCACCCCCCACCCAATCTCCCCCCGCCCCCCGCACCAAAGTTGTAAAGTTCATTTTTGACATGACGACTTGTACTTCTCATAGTTGCATCGGGTCCACCTGTATCCTTAAACGACTTGTTTTTCCCCATCTCCTCCACAAATTATACCGACATCAAATATAGTGAAAGCAGGGGTTGTACTGTGGGGGAGGGACATACAAAACTACAAAGAAATAATCTTATAAGTGAGTTAGAAACAAATGCATGAAAGAAAAAAACATTTAAATACTTATCTAAGGGTTCATTTTCCTAACATCACATTATCTGATCTTTCCTGCTTGACTCATACATATACTAGGTATTGCAAATAAGGAAAACCGTGGGACCTTTGTTTCTTTGGGCTTGGCTGATTTCTTTTTTTCTTTTGTGCTTTCCCCCCTGTGATTTATCCCCTGTTGTCACTGTATTTGTTTTTTGTACCCTAGGTCTTGTATATATGTTTATCTGAATTAGGGAAGGGAAGGAGAACAAAATGGTGAGACCATATACAAAGGGCAAACAAATGCAACAGCGATACTCAAAGACAATATGTTGAAAATTAACTGTACAATTTGAGGGGGGAGGGATTGGGAAGAGAGAAAGTTGGAGAAAAATGAGGGAGGGAGTAATAATTTTGACAAGAAGTGTACTCACTACCTTACATATGTAACTGTAACCTGTCTGTACATCACCTTGACAACAGTAATGAATTAAAAACTGCCTAGTGAGAGTGTGCCTCACTGGTGGAGCACTAGTGTAGTCTGGGAGAGGCCCTGGATTTAATCCTCACAGCACACACATCCAAGAAGATGTATATAAATACTGTTTACAACTCTATGAAAAACTCAAATAGTTACATAAAGTAGATAATTTTATAAAGGTACAACTTATAGAAAAGAATCCAAAAAATTAGAATCTACCCCTAAACAGATTCTTTAAAAATAAAATCAGTAGTTAAAAGTAAGTCTATCCTTCTCGGCAATTTAATAGAGCAAGTTTCACTAAAATTTCAAGTATCAGATAATTCCCTTTTGTACTATTACAGAGAGAAAAAGAAGAAAAAGCTAGCAAATCTCTCCACAGGGATAGTACAACATTGATATTAAGCCTAAAGGATAAGAAAGGTAAATAAAATTGTATACCAATCTTGTTCCTGCACATTGTAAAGCTTTCTTTAATCCTCCTTCCTTACCATCTCTCTAGAATCAACCACTCTCTATGAATTCTATTACAGTTTACATATTCTATCCACAGCACCATTCACACTTTCATACACTTCCTTACACACAGTCGTATTTGCCTCTCAATAGTAGACACTAATATTCTTGCAGGCAGGACAGTTCCTCATTCAATCTCATGGTATGAAATATAGTGCTTACTCATGACAGGCTCCAGAACTGCTGAATGGCATGCCTGTTTCAGGCAGAAACGCTGTTAGCATAACTTGAAGAAAATGGGAAATAATGAGGCAATGAGTAAGATCAGCTCCATTTGGCCAGGGCACAGGTTTATGTAAGACAGTAACACTGTAAATAAAGGTTGGTCAAAGACAATTACTGTGAGTTTTTCAGAGGTAAGGTTGAGTTTGGTTTCAGTCTCTAATGAAGATATTTGAGCAGGCAATGACTAAATCAAGATAAGCACCTTTCAGACTGGACAGGGACCTGGGAAGGACCACTCTTGTCTATATCTATTGTTTTTTAAAAGCAAGCAAGCAAACAAAAACCTAAAATTCAAAGCCAGAGCACAGAATTATCTAGAAGCAGGCATTAGCTTACAGGGAGTAAACTTGAATCACATAGTCTATGGTATAATCAACAGGCAAACCCAGTTAGTTCAATTGGAAGTATGATCTAGATGACAGCAGGCAAGAGGTATGTAAACCTTCTGTATACTCTTTTAGGAAATCCAGCTTTCAGATTAATGCACTCAATTTGATTAAAGGTAATTAGTTCATGTGTAACCAAAGGCTGATTTACTTATTTTTACTTTGATTATATATCTGAACACTTAAGATTTCTAATTATCTTAATTGCACTAATGATTTTGATTTAAAAATCATTTATTTAGTTTCTGGTACTAAGATTACTAAAATGGTGGACATGAAGAGGAAATATACAAAACCTAGACCTAAATCATAACATAAAAGTCGTTGCAGCAGAACTGGAAGAGCTCCAAAAGAAAACAAATGAAATCTATAGTAGATAGAGAGGAATACTGATGGACAAACATATCATATCATACATAATAATTAGGATTCTTCAGTCTTAAAAGACAGGCTGAAGCAGAGTATGGTATATACATCTGTGAGGGTGGATCAGGAGGGTTATGAGTCTCAAAAATAAAAGAAATAAAGGAATAAATAATAAAGATAGCCTGAAAGTTTATAAAACCAGAAGTATGTAGGGCCAAACATCCTGTTTCACCCAGGCAAAATTTTAACAAGAAGGGAACACAGAAGTTTGTCTATAAGAATGAGTGACTAAGTCATTGTCAGGAATAGCTAGAGTGAGGATATTGTCCTCATCTTGTAGATCAGTCCTTGCTTCCATGAAAGATAGGATTCTGGACTGAGAAGGACACTGCTCTGTACCTTCTTTAAATTTCTTCCCCTCTGACAGTTTACTACAAGGGCTTGCAAATGGGTATTTAACTAATATATGTTAATTGATTGAATTTTGGAAAGAGTAATTGGGAACATAGTCTTTTCTTTTTGTCCCCTTGACAGTATTGAGAATTTAACTAAAGGATTTGAGCTTGGAAGGAAGGTGCTCTTATCACCTGAGTCAGGCTGCCTTTGCTTTAGTATTTTTCAGGAAAGGTCTCATGTTTTTGCCTAGGGCCAGCCTCAGACCTTACTCCTTCTGTGTAAGTCCTCTTGTGTAGCCAGGATGACCCATATGCTACACAATGCCCAGCTTCTTTATTGAGATGGAGTCTTGCTAGCTTCTTTGACTGGGCTTTCCTTGAACCATGATTCTCCCACTCTCCACCTCCTGAGTGGGGTAGGCTTAAAAGGTGCCAGCTACTGTACCCGGTTGTGACAAAGGCATGAAATCATGAGCAAACAGTATGCTAGTGCTAATGATAATTAACAGTGGTATTCAACAGTGATTGATTCAGTTTGTTATATGCAAATATTGATTGTTACTGAAACTACAGCACATGGGTTAAGTTAACTTGCTCAAGCAGAAAGAGCTGCATAGGAGCAGATCTAGGATCTGAACCTAGACGCATGTGCTCTTAATCGCTATGCTATTCCAGTCAGCCCTAGAATTTTCTAGTTATCCCCTAGCTATGATACTTTTTAGGATTTCATTTTATATGCCATTTTCATTTTTGAATATCTGAAAACATAAATTATAGGTTTGAAAAAGTATACACATTTACTTTAGAAAAACGAATACAATTTTACTTGCATTTCATTAAAATGTAAATGATTATTTTAGATTTACCTCAAGTCTTCCTTGAGCACAACCTAGGAGAAGCAGATTGGCTTTGTCCTTCTCAGAAGAAATTGGGGCCCAAGGCCAAGCATCATCATTGACCAGTGGCCACCAACAAACAACTCTGTCCTGATTGCAGTTGATAGCTAGATGACGTTGCGTTGTCCTATTAACTGGGCCAGGTATTTCAAAATAAGACATCTGATGATTAAAAGAAAAGCATCTGAGAAACATTTCTTTGAAAAGATGTAAAATCTTCAAAGTATTACAAAATTAAAGCATCTGTAAATGTAGATACATGCAAGTAAATATGCATGTTAAACATGCATCTTCAGAGGGTGTCAGAATTTACCAAATTCTTTTGACACATACATAAGAAAGACATATGTTCACAATTCTCCCCATTTTTAGCAGAGGAAAGGAAAAAGAAGAAATGTGAGTTAGGGAGGAATTGGATATAGCAATTCCAATCAATACCAAAATGTACAGTCATGGTTGCTTGACAGCATCGACCTACACATAGGTTTCAAGACCAGCTATATTAAATGACAAGTTCAGTACTGCTGACCAAGGACGTCTGAGTACTGTTTAAGACATAACATGTTAACAATGACTGACAACAATCAAAGGAAAAACAACTTGAGCAAATATCTCTTACAAAGAATATATAAGACATATACACATATATTCTACATAAAAGGGATAAGCCACAGCATCATGCGTAAAAGTTTATGCGGCTTCTGAGAATTATGCTTTTCTTTCTTCGGAAGGATTTGTAGAATTTATTATTCAAACTATGTTATTTTGGAACATGGTTATTTGAAAACATAAGCACGACACCATCTGGGTGACACATGCCAAGGAAATATAGATTGCACCGTATTTCTGCTTAAGGAATTAATGGAAGGTTGATAGCTTGGAAGAAAAAAAAAAACTATCTTGCCATTGCTGGTCAGCAATAATCGAACCACTTTCTGGGGATTAAGCGCATGGCTAAGCCTACTGGACCAGACACTAGCAAAGGGCAGGGGGTCTTCTTATCAGAGAAATGCTTCTGGAGCCAGTCTCACTACATGACAGATTGCTTTCATATTCCTGTCTGCAAGGCAACAAAGGATGGCAGTAATGCGATAATGCCAGAGTGCAATGGGTGTTAAGAACCCGTTGCATTTATGTATTGTATTTAGTAAATAATCAGGCTCATCCAAATTGTGATCTCACCACTCAACCAAGGCCATTAAAATCAAGGTTAATGCTTTAATAATCCTCTGCTATTTTTTTTTTCAAAATGGTCAAAAGGAACCCTTTTCTATTTGCATGGCCATAATATTATTGACCTCTTCATCCTCTGAATGCACATCAAAAGGAACCGAAATCAAAGTAATTACCAGTGTTGTTCTCTCATGGTAAACATTTAACTCCTTGCACTATCCCTTCACTGTTAAATTGAATTGCATTTTCAAAATGTAGACAGGAAAACTTGCTAAAGGTCAACAGTTTCAGGATAAATTTTCTTAACCAAAATTATTTCAATCTGAAATAATTAAATTATGGTAAGGAACTGAAGAAAGCAGAATGATAAGATTTGATACAACTTCCTTGTGCTAAAATCCAAATGGGCTATGACAAAACCCAGATGTACTTTGTGATTTTAAGTGAAAATACATGTATAGCCTCAATATAATTATTTTAACTTTCTTCTTATTGGAGAGAAATAGCATAATAGAATTGCTAAGTACTTTAAAAACACATATATACACATTACATCTTAATGTCCAACTTGCCAAGTAGGCATAGTACTTACAAATCTCAAAATGAGAAAATAGTTTAAAATGAGTGATTGGCATTTTAATTTCTCACATAATGCAAATGAGTTGTTATTTGAAATTTCATATTTCCTATGAGTTTTAGTGGTATCAGTAGTCTCTCATGATGATTAAGAGGGCAGGGAAAATGAGTAAGTTTCTTAAAATATCCTTCCAATGAAGAAATGGCAGTTTTTACTAATTATCATATATCTATATTTTAAATATTGAAACAGGAAATGAAATCCATAGGCTTTCCAAAAGGAAACAAATTAATTCTGTAATGTATAGAAGTGAGGTGGAAGGCTCACACTCCTAATTTTTCCAATCCAGAGGTAGAAGAAATAAGAGAGCTAATTCTCTTATTTAAGGTATGCAAGGACTCAAATGCTAGCTCTGTTTTCCATCTGTTTTCATAAGAAAAACTGACATGCTGGTAGTTTTCTCTGCTCTCACTAACAGGTAGCTATTATCCTTCAGTTCAGGAGACTTTACCAAGCTATTCTTCACACCTAAGATGGAGGAACTAATCATACATAGTTTTTATAACAGCATTAACCATGCTTATTCTAAGTGACATGGGTTAATGCATATTGTTGCATTTTAGGGACCAATTTTAGCAGCTAAATAATGTTTCCAGTGAATCTGCAGTTAGCCATTTGGAATGCTAAAGGAAAAATTGTTTTGGTAATTAAGTATAACACATATATTACATATTTCCAATTAAAGGAAGTCAATATTATATCAAGTTTCATAGAGGAGCCCCACAAAGCTATAAAGAAAACCACACTATAGCTTATTACCACATTGGAAACCTATTTCATGCATTTCATTCCATTTTAAAACCCTTTTTATAAGAATAGATGCTTCTAGTAAACAAAATGAAATCCTCCCTGCTACCACCTTAGTCATAAGAAATGATCCCAAAGTGCACAAAGTTAGGTTAAATACTAGTCTTCTAAAACCACACACAAATTACAAACCAGCAAGCTGATGTCTAAAAAATCTTTGCCCTTGCTATATAAACTCTAGGTATGGCATAAGTGTGCATCTTTTTTAAGAAAGCTGTATATCAGCTCTGTTCCCAGTGAACAGTGAACTGTCTCAAATCCACGTCACAGAGGCTGGATCAATCTTGCAAACACAAGTCATTGCTGAAAGGAGGCCTTGAACTGAAACAGCCTGGAAAATGTATTAGATACTCATCCTAGCAGAGAGTATGCCTTCCTAGCAGTTAAAATGTAATGTGGCAAAATTTAAACACATCATTTTAAATTAAAATCCTGCCTTAACAGATGTAAAGTCCCTGCCTGATACAAGGAAACAAATTACCTGGAGTTAGTGAAGGAAGACATACATCTAAAAGAAATTTCTTTTTTGCATTTTCACCATTTATAGCTGGGAATAGGGGTGGGATTTCCCCACTCTTTGTTTATTGCACTTTTTTTGAAAGAGCCTTCTTCCTTCTTTTGATTCTTGTGAAGTGGAAACCAGGGCTCCTAATGGGAAATGAGAATGGTTTTCTACAATTGGCAAAAAAAGAAAAATTGAAAAATGCTATTTGCCTCTGTTACCTGTCTTTGACTTTCATAACTACTATAAAAATTGCTCCAAATATGTCCCTGTTATAACTGAATAGTAAAAATGAAAACTTAGGATGGCCACCATAGGAAATCAACCTTAATCCTGTAATTAATTCAGTTTTCTGAAATCCAGATGTGTTCAAGAATAACAGTTATAACAGTAACTCATATGATACTCCAGTATATCTTAATTAGTAATATAACTATATACATTGAGAGCTGTACCTTATAATCCAAGGCCGAGAGTTTTTCCAGTCTTTTATTTACATCAGACAAATCCATCTTCTTTGTAAACTGAATGAAACATAGATTGTTTTGTGCCAAAAATGATAAGATGATGAAACTGTCTGTGAGAAGAGCTAAAAAAAAAATTTGATGTTACCAAGTTAGAATAAAATTGTGATGAATTAATAGGTTGTTTTCCACAGAAGTGTTAAAAAAAAAAAAGCTGCTTTCAGAAGGTGAATTAATTCGAATCTGTAGTCCTTTAAATATGGTCATGATATTCTATAAAAGTATTAGGGATATCATGAATAAATAACAACCATCAATTTAATCATACAGATTTAGTTTTTGTTTTTGTTTGGTCTTCTTTTTGTTTCTGTGACTATTTTAATATAAACTGACATTTGGGAGCTACCACAATTAAGACATATGTGGAATCAAGGCTACAGAAGCATACAAGATGACTACTTCATGCCGAAGGGCAAACATGAAAACAATACTTTCATTTGTGCTTTCACTCTAATTCCATGTTTCTACACTATTAAGCCGTCTGAGAGTAAAGTGATAAATGTTCTCTACCAATCTAAATTTTATTTAGATTCACCAATTTAATTTTTAACCAATGATCCTTCTTTTGACAGTATACAAGTCAAATGAAAAAAAGTATATTTTACTCCATTTATATATTACAGAAATTAATATTTAACAATGAAGATTGCCAAAGAATACTTCTATAGCCTTATTCATAAAGTATAAAGTGAAAAGATAATATCATGGTTTACATGAAGGGCCATATGTGTTATGAAATTACTGATAAAACACATAATAGCTATTTGAGAAATTCACTGTTTCTAGCATAAAGAAATTGTTGAATGTCTTATACATTTTTCTTTATTTCCATGCCCCTGGCCGTGCAAGCAGTGACCAACAGTGGATCTGCACAATAACAGGAGAATTTGGAGAACTGCCAAGAAACCACATTGTTATCATGTCCCATGAGAGTGTATTATTTTGGGTACAAATAAAAGAAACAAGTGAAAAAAGATAACTCACACGAATAGCATTGGAAGTCTCATTTTAATTCTTATAGAGGAGCATCAAAATGACAAAGTCATCACAGTCACTATTTCATTTGTAATGTCAACAAAAGGCTCAATTCTTAGAATATGAAAATGGAACATCTTCCATAGGGAAGCTCCCTTAACATCATCCTCCTACATGGAAGGGGAAATGGCATCCTGACAGTCCTAGCCCCGCTTGTTATTATCAGTAATGTTGCTAATTATAACCATCCTGCAGAGTACTTTTTTTAAGGTGATATGATTATGTCTGATTTACTCAGAGGCTGCTAGTGAGAGCACACGGTGGACAGGTCTCTTCACTCTCAGTTCTGTCTTTCTACTATACTACATTTTCCTTTGTTCAATTTAAGATACTGACCAATTTCATTATTTCATATAATGGAATCTCTTTTTGGATCTTTTGCCTGAAACAGTAGGACAGAGTCTGAAAAATTCAGGAATCCGCATAGTATAGCAGAAAGAAAATGGGTGTTGTAATCAGAACCTATGTTCAAATCTCAGCTCAGTCACTTTCTAGCCATAAAAGCCTCGCTATGTTCCAATGTCATTCAGCTTAAGTTTCTTTAACTGTACAGATGGAAATAATTCTACTTTTTTTTTCTTGAAATAAACAACACAGGTAGTCTGGCATCAAGCATTGTGACTTTATGACTCAATAGTGAATGACTTAAAACATTTTCTTATGTATTTTGTACCAATTATATACTATTTGTGTTTTCACTCAGTAGAGCCAGTATACCTGGAATTGATTTTCCTTATTTAGAAAAGTTTCAAATCTCTCAAAAGTCAGTAGTCATAGACTAGTAACAAAATATCTTCCTAAATAAGCTCTTATGCCATTTTACTAGGATCTGTGTTGACATATTTGCGTTATTAAAGAAATGAGGACCAGGTATTAAGTGGTATGCACCTATAAGCTCAGCTACTTGGTAACCACAGATGGGAGGATTGTAGGTCAATGCCAAACAGGGTAAAAAAGAAGTTAGCAAGACTTTATCTCAATTAACAAGTCAGAAACAGTGGCTCCTGCCTGTGGTCCCAGCTACTGCAAAAAATGGAAGGAGAAAGATCACAGTCCAAGATCATTAGATCTCCATACAAAATGTGTGACATCCTATCTGAAAAACAAAGCAAAAATGCCTGGAAGCATGGTTCAAGTGGTATAATGCTTGCTCAACAAGCATGAGGCCCACTACCACCAGAAAGAATATTAATAGTAATATTACTATTAAATATAATAATAGAGGAATGATCTTGACAGAATAATAACAAGCTTATTTTCAAAATATATTCACATTTTTAAAGAAAAGAGTAGAAAATACCCAGAATATGAGCCTAACACTTGGCAAGAAGAAAAAAAGACCTTGGTATTAAATATTAGTGGAGACTTATATTGGTCCCAGGGGTTGTAAGTACGCTATTACAAGCAATTACTTGTTGTGTTTGCAAGTCCCTAGTGTTAATAATTAGTCTACCTGTTGACACACTATTTCTCCTGCCCCACTGTTAATGTAGGCAATTGATTTGCACATGGGGGTAATTACCATCGCTGATGGTGTCTGAGCCGAGCTTCCCCACCAAGCTTCTATCAATCACCACTTTCTCCAGCTGCGGCCCAGAAAGGCTTAGGGACACAAGCACACCTGAACCAAAGAGGAGCTAAAACCAGGTAAAGAAGAGGGGAGAGGAAGATGTGGAAAATTAGAATCTCTTAAAAATTTCTCCAAATGTACAAATGTAGACAAATATTTATACATGTATTTACACCATGAAATTATAAAGCTTCACTCCACTGAAAAACACCATGATTAAAAAAGAGACAGGTGGCTAAATGATGCTATGTCCTAAGAGCATCGATTAGAGCTGTATGCAGAAAGCTAATTTAGTGTGTGTTTGTTAGAAACCTAATCTTCTAAATACTTAGAAAGTGCCTAGGCAGAAATGACTGCTTTGTTTTGCATTCAGAAAATGTTCTCTATTAAAATACTTTCAGAGATTATTATTTGTATCCGAAGCTAAAAGAACATTTCTAGAGGCTTGAATAATCATTCCTATACATTACATACAGAAGAGAAAACACCATTAGAATATAAACAGATAATGTTATATATATGGAATTTAAGCCCTACTTCCAAAACTAAAGATCATGTCAGTCTAAAAATATTAAAATACATGTAAATTAAGGCAATTAAGTAAAAACACTTTAAATTCATAAACAACACAGCCATAAGCAATGTCACAAGGAAAGATAAGCATCCAGGCTTTATCAATATCAGCATTCAAGAAGCCACCCAACAAAGGATGACTAGATACCACCATTACAATTTGTCATTGCTCCTTTCCATTTGTAGCAGCATAATTCATTCATCTCCAAATGTTTAAAACTTCTGCAAGGACTCTGCATATGTGTGTGCTTGTTATCTACGAGATTTTGAAATATCAACATTGGAAGAAATTGTTTCACCTTCAAGGCAACAGACTCAAAGCTGATGAATCATGGAATAGCATATGGTATAAGAAGGAAAAAACCAATTGTCAGTAAACTAATCATGCACATGCTAGCCAAACCCAAAGACAACTATGATTTAAACAAAACAGGGGAAATCCCCACCCACCTGGGCATCAAGTCCCAGCTAGAGACAGTGATTTCATTCAAACACATTTGACATCCGTGAAAGATAAGCTTATCTAGGGACCAAAGTCCTAGAATGAAGGACCCTTATTCCCCCACCATCCAAGAGATTCCAGGTACATGAAGCAAAGAAACGGAAAGATCCCTTTGTCTATACTGCATAAGTCCTTGTCCTAATCCACAGAACCTTACTTTTACTTAGTTTAATGGATTCATTCATTCCATGTCAGTGCATTTACTGGCCTATGAAGTGGAGACAGGGAGGAAGGAGACTTCGTCATCTTTATGAGTTCTGGAGACTAAAGTAAGACAAGATCCATTTGTTCTAGGAATGTCAAAATACTTTACAAATTAATTACACTACTGAGTTACATCCAGCCCTGAATCTTATCTTGACGGCAAATGCTAATATACTATTCCAGTGGGAATTCCCTGCCAGCACCATAGTACATGGTCTTCACACTTAAAGTTCTCCCTTCTCAGACAGGAAAGATTCTATGCTCACCTTTCATGCCTAGTTATCTTCGTTTTTCTACCCTTTCTATTCTGTTCAAATCTCTCGAAAGTCTTTTTCTGTTTATCTACTGAATTTTACAGCTATACTCTTAATTGCTTCTTTTCTTAGTTGATAATAGTTCCTTACAGACATTGATTAAGCTGCATTATCTTTTCATCTTCAGTGCTTTGAAAAATGCCAGACACAGAGTAGATGCTCAACACGTGTTACGTGTTTACAGAAGGCATCCTAACAAAGTCATCATAGGCTTAGGAAATGTGGGGCATTTTCCTTCTACAATACTCCTTCAAGGGCACAGCAGACGAGCACTGCCAGTGATCAGGCCAATTGCCCCACGGGAAAGCTTTTCCAAGATGAGACCGTTAGAATCAATTTTTAATTTTTTCTCTTTTCCTCAATTTAAATAGCATTTAAAATGAATGTTGTGATAAAATAAATGGCTCAAAAATGAATCAATTTAAATAGCATTCATTTTTCACTCAACAACAACAAAATGAGTGTTGGTCTAAAATAAATCAAATGTAATCCTTAAAATAGAATAAATATAGGTTATTAGTAGACATAGAAGCAAATAAGTCTGAGGTAGTTCTGTTACTGGTCCTGTTAGAGGCTACATTCTCAGTGTACTGAGAAGACTGAGAGGTGGTAACTCTGGAATGTTTGGCTAAGGCTAAACCTGACTTAAAAAAACTTCCACTCTAGCCTGCTTTCAGTAGTGGCTCTTCAAATATTCAAAGATGGTTAAGAGCATGAACTGAAATCCACATTGGCCCTATCTCTTACTACTGTGTGACCCTGAGGGGGTTTATTTAACCTCTCTGTACCATCATTTCCTCTTCTGAAAATAGACATGATAGTTATCAACTTCATAGGACCAGGATTAGTGTTTTGCAAACAGCATTAAGTAATGCTTGTCACACAGTGTTTGCAATGACTGTCGTTCTACCATTCCTCCTAGGATGTGTGCTCACAGTACTCTGCCTGGGGCTGGGATGTAGCTCTGTTGCAGAGCACTTGCCCAACCTCTCAAGGTCCCCTGCTACAGCAAACAATGACAACGCATATCCTCATCTACTCAGGTTAGACCCAGTGTTAGACATAGAACATCAGGGCTCCAGTTGAGTTGTAACCAATATCACAAAAGAACCCTCATCTCCTAACAGAAACTACCCTGTTTGTCAGCACGTGTTATGTTTTAAAATTAGTTCTAAAAGGCTATTTTTGTGGAATGAAGAAGTAAAGTGCAGCCTGGGGGAGCAGGTGAAAATGAAATTAATACTATTTAACAGAAGGGAGTCATGAACAGTGGAAATGTGCATTCTGCCCATCAAGGGAAGTAGGAGCAGTGACTTGGGTACCATGGAGCCTGTGCTCCAAAACATTTTTTTTTTGGCCTGGGCGCTGTCCCTCAGCTCTTCAGCTCAAGGCTAGCGCTCTACCACTTGAGCCACAGCACCACTTCCGGCTTTTTTCTTTTTGCTTATGTAGTTCTGAGGAATCGAACCCAGGGCCTCAGGCATGCAAGGCAAGCGCTCTACCACTGAGCCACCTTCTCAGTCCCATCCAAAACATTTCTCATCCACTCACTGGCATTCACTCAATCATTCATCTCACTGTTCTGATTATAAAGATACAGCAGGGAACAATGGAAGAGTGTCTCTGGCCTCTCAATCTTCATGGAGCATGCATTTGAACAAGGATATTAGCCAATTAAAGTGTCAAATAGGGGCTGGGTGCTGGTGGCTCACACCTGTAATCCTAGCTACTCCAGAGGATGAGATCTGAGGATCACAGTTCAAAGCCAGCCCAGGCAAGAAAGTCTGTGAGATTCTTATCTCCAATTAAACACCAGAAAACTAGAGGTGGAGCTGTGGCTCAAAGTAACAGAGCATGAGCCTTGAGCAAAAAAGCTTAGGGACAGGACTCAGGCCCTGAGTTCAAGCTCCACAATTGACAATAAATAAATAAATAACAACAAAATAAAATGTTAAATAGAAGTAAAAATTATAGAGGAAACAAACACAGTAAGATAAGAGATTTTAGGAGGATGCTATTTTAGGCAGGATGACTAATATATCAAAATGCCTCTTTGAGGAAATGGGACCTGCGCAAATAAAGAGAAGTGGTACACCACATACATCTGAGGAAAGGAAATCTGAAGTGGAGAGAACAGCAAATGCATATTCTTTCGGGTTGGATTGGGCCCGGGATGACTTAAGCAAAGCTGGGCCAGTACAGCTGGAGGGAAGAGAGTTCAGGGATGGTCACAGAGGGTGAAGGCCAGAAGGAGTCAAGGGTGAGACTTCACAGGACCCTGCTGATGGAGAGCAATTGAGCTTTATGCTGGATGAAATGACAATCTGCATTTTAAGGGAGAAAGGACAAAAGGGGAAGCATAGGAGGCTCTTTTGAGGTCCTCACAAGAGAAGACAAATATTTGCAGACAGACTTGAGCTATACAATATCCAGTAGCACTTAATCTAAAACTTGGAAGTGGCACATAAGAGAAATACTCACAGTGTTTGGCCTGAGCAACCAGGTACTGATATAAATAATGCTAGAGAAGCAAATTTAGATTATGGGTAATCAAGAGCTTGGTTTTGCTTAAGTTAAATTTAAGGTGTTTATGGAAGTGCAAGTGGAAAAATCAAGTAGACAATTAGAAATGAATCTAAAGTATAATTAAGAATGGGAACGGGAGCTATCAATATAAAGGAAGTATTTAAGGTCATAGAAGCACTCTTTAAAAATGAGTGGAAAGAGAGAAAGTCCAAAGTCTAAGTTCTGGGGTCAACCTTTAGCAGTATTTAAAGACAGGGCTCTTTTTAGGATCAAAGTATGTCTACCATTTCAGATCTCAGTGCCCGTTACCAACTTTTGGAATATGAAGATACAAATAAATTAATAACCTAATTAATGCTGTAAAACAGCCTGTGGGGGAGCATAAAGTTTCCAAGTACTGGTGCCAAAGATAATCCTGGATGTGGTACAGGAGATAACTTCAGTTAGGAAAAAAAGAGTTCTGAAACTCCAGGAAAAATATTCCAGCTCAAACAAGGAAGTGTTAGTCTTACCTGTTGTGTATGATGTGGTATAACAAGAAGTAAAAAGGACAAAAAGGCCCTATTCCTGGCAAGGGGTTGGAAGATTCTGGCAACTCAGAAAATGGAAAAGAGCAGGCTGAGTGGCAAAAGGAAGCAGCTGTGAAGTGAACAAGGAATGAAAGAGAACCTCAAAGAAGAATCAGTCAAAAGGTGAATGGGATTTCAACACTGTCCCAATTTGAATATTGTTCTTGGCACCTCTCCAGACTGGAACTATCCTTACTTTTGCTTTGGCACATCTCTTTCTGTTGCATTTATGTCTTCATCATTTTCTTCATCAAGTTTAGAACCCATAGAGATTAGTTTGTCCAGAAACTCAAAAAATGTTTCTTAGGATGATCAGCCAACCTTTTCAATTTGGTTTCTCATCCTTCCTTGCCCCTTGTGGTACTGGGGACTGCAAATC